TGGAAAGAGAGTGGTATGAGTCCAGAGTAGTTTATCATCTTAAATCGTAAACATAAATACTTGTTTTAAAAGGAAAGTTATGAGACAGCCTAAGCTGCACTTCTGCTGTTTCAGTGAACTGAAGGAAGTAAAAGCCTTGAAGGTTGAGGACTGGGGCCTTTGTGAACAGAAGCCATCTCGTCTACCAAAAAGCAGTTACTTTCTAGCCCCTACCGTTGCAGTGCTTACCCAGTGAAAAGAATGGTACACAGATGCAATTCAGAAGCACCAGGGTAGGGGCTGTGTGTAAAGCAGCACTTTAAAGGCGCACACACACAAACACACACACACACACACACACACACACACACACACACACACACACTAGACTTAGCGTGAGCATTTTATTTTTTTGCAACTGGTCCATATTTTTTTCTTACCTATATTTTCAATTCACATCTTCAAATAAACTGAAAGATTGGATAGAGGGTGGTAGGGGTTTTTTGCTCTCAAGCAAGTAAAATCTACGTATCCTTATTTATCGATGCCTAGAGCAAACCAGGAGAAATGCCCTCGCTGTGGTAACTCGGTGCAAGCAGCCAAAATCTCTGAAAAAAGAGTGTGTGAACCAGTTTGCTAAAAGCCTGTGATCCTCCTGATCAGTCAAAGCTGGCCACAGTAACAGACTGTGTGCAAGGTGCGGAGCAGACCAGCACTCACAGGGCCGTGCCCTCACACTGCAGCTCACTGGGAAGGAGCAGAGATGCTGCTCAGTGGCAGAAACAAAGTTGTAATTGCCACAGCTATGGGAGCAGAGCAATGACTGCAGTTCCCACATCCAAATTCCATATAGTGCATAACTTATCTGTGTAGGAATGGGAAGGATCCTCAATTTCCCCAACACATTTGCATTCAATTACAAGTTTATTTTGCTTTTTAAGAAGACAGATGTGTCTTAACCATGATTCATACTCCATTTAATAATACGGAGTAATAAAAGTGATTAACAGTAATACATGAGCCTTACCTGTCGTCCTTTTCACTAGGCAGAAGTCCCTCTGTAAGCGATACTTCCATTTCTTCTTTTTTTGAATCCTGGCAACCGAGAGGAAAATGCACTTTCTGGTGACTGGTTCTTAAGCCAAGGTTTAACTGATTCTAATCACGGTATCTGTGTTTGAAGGCACCTAACTGAGAAGAAAAATATGAAGCAGCAGCCACTCTTATTTCTACAAAGACTGTACTGCATCTAGAATAGCAGCATTCTGGAAAATCAGGTTTGGGTAATGTCTGAACAAAAGTATGCTGCAGGCCTTCATGACAGTACTGTTCACCCCTGTACATAGCTCTTCTTCAAGGTCAAAGTTTCCATTTTTCCAGACTCAATTCTATCAGACAGTTGTGTTAGCGTAACACAGACTGACCTGTGTAGATTCAGACCGGTTTTAAACACAGTTTAAACTAAAAATTAAGGACATTTAAATTTAAATACTCTCCAAAACCAAACCAACTAACAAACACACCCCCCCAGCGTACCAGAAAAAAAACAACCAACCAACCAACCAAATCTACAAAGGAAAGAGTTCGCAGGTTATTTTTCTTTTGGATCCACACATTTCTGCAGTACAAACCCAAACACTCATCTCCGCAGGTTGTTACAAAAAGCTTCTGGACAAAGGAAAAAGGAAAGAATGATAATACTGTTCTCATTCTAAGCATATTTTAGCAGGACATAAATTCAGCCAATAATATTTTTGGGATGAGGTTTGGAGAACAATCACCTTGTTTGCCAGTTCCTGCTCTCTCCTCTGCTGAATTATTCTCATGTATTTTTCTAGTGGATTTGGAACAGGATCCTTTGCATTATCTTCAGCACCAGAATGACCGTTTTCAGATTTTACCCCCTCCTCATGTTCTTCATCTATTTTCATGGAGTCTTGGATCCACTTTAAGACACAAAATCAAAATTAAATACCACTCAGCTCAAGAGAAATACCTTTATACCTTAATACCTGCACTACATGTAGGATTTCACCTTAACCTTGGTGAAACACGCCAGTTTAAACAGCATTAAACTTGTTCCAAGCAGTTCAAGATGAAATGTTAAGCTATTGCCTCTGTTCAAAAAGTGACATTTGAGAAATCCCACTCTGGCCCTGTCTGGGGTCCCAGATGCTGTGAGGCCTGAGGCTTCTATGTCTGACATCCACACGTGAAGGGAAGGCCGTGAGCTGAGGGATACGCAGGTTTCCGGAAGGGTGCAGGTGCT